AACTTTGGATTCTTCTATTTATAATATGGCAAAATGTGATGCTTTTATATCAAACCACCTACTGCATCAATAATTCTACATTGACTCACCGATACCAAGGTCTTCCTCACTTTATTAAAACGCACCAAAGATCTATAATTACGACTACTGTTATTTACTGGTGCATGCTTTATTGCTTTTTGCCTATCAACTTTGGATTCTATTTTACCGACTTTTTCTTTTTGGTTTTTTAACTTGTCCTGCTTTTTTCTAAGCAACTTCCAGCCGGAAAGAAAAAGATGACCAAAACAAAACCCGTGTGCGTCAATAATTCTACATTGACTTGCCTGCAGAAAAATATAGCTCTTCCTTCTCTATACTTCATAAGCTTTACACTTTGAGTTTTCCTTTGCTTATTCTCTCCGCAGCTTCCTCAGTTTATAGCCACAAGCTACAGTTATGTTATCTACTGCTATGTTTATATTTTCTGTTTGTTGTTGATAAAATGAAATTATAGCTGATCCACCTTTGTTAATTATTTTTTAATCTATAATGTTTATTGTTATGTGTTTGTTCAGATCCGGTACCAATCTTGTGCTTCTTTGCTTTGCCTTCAGCTCCACTTATTTTCAACTTCCTCACCTCATTTTGCCAATTGATCTGGAGGTATATATAAAGTACATATTTTTTTTACTACTGTTTGAATCTCTGCTAAACATATGGGTGTACAAAAATTGTCTTTAACCATGACAAAAATGTTTTTTAGATAATATGATAAAAATTTTTGTTAATATGTTGAAACCTATTCAATTTCAACTTGAAATTTCTTAAAGATTCCCTACTCTGGTGCATGATGTATGATCTTTGACGCAGAATGAATGTTACATACTTACATATATAAAAGAGAGCAAAAGATAGTCAAATTATTTGGTTTAGATCATAACCCAGCATGAGGCAAAATATCAACCAAGTCGGTAGTTATATATAGGAGTACCAAAGTTTGTTTACTTAAGCCTTTTTCTTTAGCCGAAGCAAACAGTAACTCAAGTACCCCCTTGGTGTGACATTTCAGCAATTTTCTTAATGGCGGACATCGCAACGCTAATTCTTGAGATCATAAAGTGCATGGCAACTCCAACATGCCGTTGTGTAGATTATCATAGAAAATTCAAACGAGATGTGGAGGATCTGAAAAGCAAAGTGAGAGATCTAAATAGCAGAAAAAAGGATGTAGAAACACAACTAGACGCAGAGGTTTGCTTGCAGAAACAAGTGAAGCAACAGGTGGAGGACTGGCTTCAAGATGCGCAGAGGATCAATGTTGAAATTCAAAAGGTGGAGCGAAGGGTGGACAATGCTTCATTTCTCTCACGAGCTCGTCTTGGAAAACTTGTTCGTGAAAAAATTAATGCTGTGGATACAATTCTTCAACGAGGCCGTTTTCCTGAAGGACTAGTAGTTAATAAGCCTGCAACTGCTTTGCCTTTTCGGGAAGAGAATCTAGAAGGCGAGGTTTCTGTGAAGGAAAAGATATGGGGATACTTGACAGGCAATGAGGTCCAAATGATTGGTGTTTGTGGAATCGGGGGTGTTGGGAAGACCACCATTATGAAGCATATCCATGATGAATTACTATTGGAGTCCAGATTTGATAAAGTGATCTGGGTTACTGTCTCACATCCACTCAATGTGGTTAGATTACAATATGAAATTGCTAAGAGGATGAATGAAAGCCTCCTAGAGAATGAGGATGAACAAAGGCGAGCTTTAGAATTGAAGGAGATGATGGGAAGGGTGAAATATGCATTGATTTTAGATGATGTTTGGCAAGGATTTATGCTTGAAGATGTTGGAATCTTGAGACCAGCAGTGGAAAATGGTTGCAAAATAGTTATTACTAGTAGAAAGGTGGATGTATGCAAGTCCCTTGGTTGTGAAATAGTTAAAGTGTCTCCTCTTTCAAAGGAAGAGTCTTTGAATTTGTTCTTAGATAAGGTGGGAAGGGACATTCTACAAGTTCCAGAATTGGAAGGATTTTGGAAAGCCATGGTGGAGGAGTGTGCTGGACTACCCTTGGCTGTTGTTGTAATAGCTCGGAGCATGAAAGGAGTAACTAATGTCCGTGAGTGGAGGCATGCTTTAAACGAATTACGCAGACGTGTAAGAGCTACAGCCGAAGGTTCAGAAGATGAGATATTCGAGAGATTGAAATTCAGCTATGATCGTTTGCAAGATTCAAATATCCAAAATTGTTTCTTATCTTGCTCACTATATGCTGAAGACTATGAAATTAGAAGAGATGATCTGGTCGAACAATGGATTGATGAGGGACTTATTGAAGAGTCAAGTAGACAAGTAATGCTTGATAATGGACACTTCATATTAAACAAACTTGAGAACAACTGTTTGTTAGAGAACGGTCATTCCAAGGACACTATTAAAATGCATGATGTTGTGAGAGATATGGCATTGCGCATCGGTCCTCAATTTATGGTGAAAGCTCGTGTGAGATTGACAGAGATACCAGATGAGCATGAATGGACAAAAAATCTTGAAAAAGTTTCCTTGATGGAGAATAGAATTTCAGATATTCCTCTAAACATGTGCCCAAATTGTCCCATTCTCACAACCTTGATGCTGCAAGGGAATAGCAAATTGAGCCAAATTCCAGATTGCTTTTTTGCAAACATGCAAGGGCTCAAGTGTCTAAATCTGTCTGAAACTAGCATTGAAAGTCTACCTCATTCCATCTGCGATTTGGAGAATCTTACTACATTGCTCTTGCGTGATTGTAGGCAATTAAAACATGTGCCTTGCTTAGCAAAGCTTAAGGCATTGAAGAAGTTGGATATGTTTAAAGCAGGAATTGATGTGGTCCCTGAAGGCATTGATATGCTTGTAAATCTCCAATATCTTGATTTATGCTGTCCAAAATTGGTGGAGCTACCGACACAAATACTCAGTAACCTCTCTCACCTCCAGCACTTGACAGTATATTCCAAATGGACCACTTTAAAGATAAAAGGAGAAGAAGTAAGAGGATTGAAGAAGTTGGAGACTTTTCAAGCTCAATTGTATGACTTGCAAGACTTGAACAATTATGTTAAGTCTAATCATTTTAAAAGATTGAGTAATTACCAGCTTGTGGTTGGACCAGTGGATGACTTCTTTGATTCTTTTATTAATAATTTCTCTAAAGAAATAAGTTTAGGAGAATGTGAGATAGGTGGAGAAGATAGTGTGGTGCTTCCAGATGACGTGGAGGATCTATGGATTTATCGGTGTAGAAAATTTAGAAGCTTAAGTGATATTTATTCTCTCCAAAAAACAACTGAGTTGAGAAGGTGTACTATTGCTGAGTGTGAAGAGATAGAGTGTGTGGTTGACATGGTTACGTCATCATCATCTTTCATTAACAACCTTGAACGGCTATGGCTTGATAAGTTGCCCAACTTGAGTGTTGCTGTGAACGTGGAAGGAGTAGAAGCAACATCGCCTCACATCTTTTCCAATCTTAATCTCTTTTTGATTTCGGAATGTTCTACAATGAAGAGGTTGTTTTCATTTGAGCTGCTGCAAGGCCTCCAAAACTTGGAGGATATTATAGTTCGGAATTGTCAACAAATGGAGGAAATAATAGGGTGGGAAGGAGAAGAGGAAAATCACACAGCTAATGCAACTACTACTACTACTACATTCACTCTTCCAAAATTAAGACGGTTGAAATTGCATAATTTACCAGAATTGAAGATAATCTGCCCCACAAGAGGAGTAATGGTTTGTGATTCTCTCCACAAATTACAAATAAGGGAATGTCCAAAGTTAAGGAGGATTCCCCTGGTAGGGAATGTACGGCCATCTCCTCCTGCTGCTCTAGAGGAAATCCATATAGAGCCAAAAGAATTATGGGAATCACTGGAGTGGGACGATCCCAATGCCAAAAATGTCCTTCAACCCTTCGTGCATTTCTTTTGAGGACTGCAAATGGAAAGTCTTTGCATAAAATCAAATGGCCGAGATCCAATACCATGAGTAAGCCTTTTGTTCTTTTCTTATTAATGTTCAAACTGCAATATTTCACTCTCGTTTCTTTTTCCCCCTTTTTTTTTTAAATATCCTTTATTTTTTTTAATCATATATTCACCGTCGAACATTTGAAACCAAACATTTTTGTGGTTCATATATATGATCGATCTTTTGGCTGATGCTTTTAGCCATCATTTGATTCAATTCTCTCAAAATCATTAATGTTTAATTAATTCATCTTTCATCTAGTGGGTAATGGATCAACAACTAACTAATCTTGTGTGAATTGATTTTTGATCAAATTGGTTTTTGTTGTCATTTAATTGATCTATTGTGATTTGTGAGAAAGACTATCAAGTTTATATGATTGTTGAGGGTTGGAGCGCAACAAGTCTAGGAAGATTTGAGCTTATTTTTGGTTATGCACATCACGTATTTGATGAAATGCTTGTGTGGAGATATGGGTTTGTTTTCTGGAATGTGTTTGCTAGGATAGGCTACACTAGCTACAAAGGGTTTAGAAAGATGGTGTGGGGTCTTTTAGGGTGATATGCTACGTATGTTTTCGATTTGAGAATCTTTGTAATGTGTGGATTAGATTACTCCCTAATGCTTATACTTCTCTTTTACTGATGATGAATGGCTTTGTGGGATCATGTTGTGCAGCTTGGGTCTGCATCTTTGTTCAGCTTGTCAAAAGGATCTCATCTTGGAATGGGCAGGAAATTAAACCAAAACAATGGGTCGATTCCGCACATCTACTTGACTTGAATGTTGTCTCATAATCTTTGAAATCTCTATTTGTTTTTGAATGCTAGTATTATGTAAAACCCGGTTCATTTCTTGCTTCTTATTTTCATTAACTTGTGTGATGTTGTGGAAGTTACATTATATAGTTATGTGATTGTTCTTTGGATATTAGTCTCAAAATCTTAAATTATTGTTGTAATTAACTTGATTATTTCTCTGAGCAAAAAAGAATCATACATTTATTATTAAGAAAAAAGTGTTTCTTAAAAAAAAAAAAAGAAAAAAAGGGAAGAATGAAAGAAGAAGGAAGTTTAAAAATTCAATTACTAGAAAACTTATAATATGACATTTCTCTCTCCCTCCTTGAGCAAAAAGAAAGAAAATTACATCTGGAGACATCAGTATACAAAACTGAGAGCAAGAAGAATCCCTGGAGTTAGGCATAGACTTGGGAACATTTTTAAGCTGTTCTCTATGCTCATATTGGCCATTCATACAAAAATTTTCCTAGAAACAGATGAAATGGTCAAGAAACTATAGTTACAAAATGCATTTGGATGATCAAAACTACTCTTCCACAATTACTGCTTGGTAAAGCAGATAGCTCAGTTAGAATACTTGGGATAACCTGACCAAGGTTCTACCCCATTGGAAGGTTTCTCCCCCATTGCTGAAGTCGAGGAGCTAACTTGGCTATTGTTCTCTGGGCTGGTTGTTCGAGGCTTTCCGGGTTTTGATCGAATTTTAGTACCCATGGGAAAGGGCTCCTGCATTAAAAAGAAAACTAGTCACTCTGATTCAAAGTGACAAGGTGTTTGATGAGTTAATGCAATCACTCATGCTGTGTAGCACAAGTTATTAAACCTTAACCCCCTGTTTGGTTTGAGAGAAATGGAAACAGAGTCCATTTCCCTCCCCTCCCTTCCCCTCTGTTTCCTTCCATTTCCCCCATTCCAATTTTTTTGTTATCCAAATAGGGAAATTTCAATCCCTTCCCTCAAACCAAATAAGTGATAAGACTTTATGAGCTACTTCACTAGTTTGACATGATAACCTACCTGATCACCAGC